GGAAGAGCCCGTATTGCTGCTTGCGAAGAACTGTCCGCCACAAGATTCGCATTGTTGCGCAGCGAACATGGTGTCCTGCAAGGTCCACCACCGTACAAGCGCACCTGGGGCCTCTGGTTAGAAGATGTGCTGCTGTTGAAAAAACCGGTCAAGTTTTGGAAGAGATGGGGTGCAATTGGGTGGGCGCGCGTCAGGTTCTCCAAACAGACCACGAGCCAGCAGCAGCTTGGCAGCGGCCCGCAGAAACTGGAAGATGATCCGCGTGAAAACCACGCCACTGAAGTGAGAGGGGGCCTGTGCAACATTGGGAACTCGTGCTTTATGAATTCGGTTCTGCAGCTAATCTACGCAGTTCCCTTGCTGATGAGAAGCATTATGGAACACAGAAGGGCAGTGCACTGTGGCGACGCATGTCTTCGTTGCTTGTTGCAGCAGACCCAAGTGAGTCGGGCAGCAGGTGCCGCAGATGCCACGGCAATGCGCCCTTGGAAAGACGTGCTACTGCGTTTTGGCTTTCAACCTGGCGAAGCAGACAGTGCTGTATATTTTGCACAATGCTTGCTGAATGCGATTATGGAGGAGGCCGGGTGGAAACGATATTCATACCGCAGACAGAACAAAAGTAGCAAAGAAGCAAAACGGTAGGGCAGTGTAAAGTTGCAAAGGGGGTTGCGTGTAACGTTGCCACGCTAGGTGCATCAAAGTGAAGATACCTGCGAGCTGGGTTCACTGGTTGGAATGCTGAGATATGCTGTTTGTTGGAACGGCGACTGCGCTGCTTCTGAAGTGACGACAGAAAAACACGAGTCCGAAGCATGGCCACTGATATTGCTCCCAAATGCTGAAGGCGATGCTTCCATACCACAACTCCTTGCGAACGCATGGAGATTGAAAAAACTGGAGGAAGGGACGCGCTGTGAACATTGCGGCGCAGAGAAAGAAGTCCGACAGCAGAACTTTTGGGAAACCACATCCCCAGTTATATGCTTTGGGTTTCCACGTGGAGATGACCATGCGGGAGAAACAAAAAACACGAACAGAATCATTTGCAACCACACACTGACGTGTGGCTCTGAAAGTTACACGCTTTGCGGCCTTGTGGAGCACATTGGCGATGAAAGCAAGAAAGCAAGTGCGGGGCACTACATTGCTTGGATTCCCACAGCCACTGTCTGGCAAAAAATCGATGATGCGCATGTTTCTGCTTCTGAAGAACTACCCATACCGGTGGAGGGCAGAGTAGTATTGGCCATCTACGCAACATCATCCAGCACCGTGCTCTCAAGTGCAAGTACAGCAACACACGCCTTGACGCCGCCGCCTCTGTGTGAACAAGGAGCAAAAGCAGAACATCCGGCAAATGGACTTTTGCCAGAAAAGAATGATGGAGAGCGTGAATTTCAGGTTGCGGTGGAAGGACTGCTGTGCGCATATCGTGCCGGAAGCAACTGTGTGGAACAACTTGCTGCAATGGAACACTTTTCCTGTGAGTTGCGTGAAACAGAGTGGCGCACATTTTGTGAAAGATTGTGGAATGCAGTGGAAGAATACATGCAAAGTGAAATCGTAGCTGCTGAGGCCGTCGAACTGGAGGCTCCTCTCTGGCGGACATGCTTCTTGCCCATTGTTGTCTTGTTCGATGCGTGGTCCAAAACCACCGGACTGCCCACTGTGTTTTATTTGGATGCTTTTTATTCGCTGATTAGCAGCTTACTGAACAAAAATATCACTTTCAACGCGGCGAACTTTGCGTGTCGGGCTCGGTATTGGGCTGTGGGAACGGCTGCTCCTGGTTCGGGAAAAAGCCCAGCCTTAGACCCTTTAAAGAATGCCCTTGTGGAGGTCATGAAGGAGATGCCAGATTTGTCCCCAGGAGAAGCGACGGACCACTTTCACATGCAGCCAGTAGGAACACACTGTGCAGCGATTGATCGCCTGCAGTCCACTGGTGGATATGAATTCTTTGGAGCTTCCGAGGGCGGACCCGTACTATGCCCCTCGTGGCCAACCCAATCAAAATGGGAACAGGGAGGCTACGTGAACTGGCAGCGGTATTTGGATGCTGCCACAGGCGTGCTTCAACCTAACAAACGAAATAGAGTTTGAAAGAATGCACTGTGTTTGTAAGTCGAATTTGAAAAACAAGCTGTGTCGTGAATTTGTTGCGCGAGGTGGTCCTGTCCCATGGGAAACAGCAGTGGACCGGCAAAAACGGCGAGTCAACCGGGACGGCAGTGCTTCGGCAGCGTGCGACGAGCGCACCAATGTGGCTGTCTTCATCATGCAACAAGAATCTGTGTTTCGGAAGTGGTGGGCTGCAGCAGAGGAAAAGTGCAGCATAGGTCTGGTTGGGCGCTTTGTGTTTTCTTTCGCCAGTGCCAAAGCACCAGGGCCACCGTCAACGGCAAACTTTGGTGAAGCAGTTGTTCTACCGGTCGTGAAGAACTATTTTCGCGTCCTGTTGTCTCTGCTGGGCCCGCACGCGCCCCTACCCACCAACAGTGCGCTGTTGGAGTGGCACTGTTCTGCAGACGCGAAGAACAGCGTGCACAGGTTCAGATTAAAGTGTTCCGAGGCAACAAAGAGTTTTCGCTTGGATGAAACCTTTGCATCTTGCCTGAACAAAACTGGTTATTGGTTAAGCTGCGTCGGGTTTTTGAACTCACTGCTCTCTCAACTGTGGCCAGCAGCCCTGGGGCAAGAGCTGCGGAGCAGTTTGCAGCCGCGCATAGCAGACATGGGCGTGAAGACTGCAATGGATTTTTTCACATACCGGTTCTTGTATGGAGCATCCATCCTCTCCTCTGATTTACGAAAGAGAACGTGGATGAAAGCTCGCAACCCACACAAAGAGTGCCGCTGGAGCCTGCCAGCCATGGTACTGCTGCAGGCATCATGCGGCGCCATGGTCACGAAAACCACGGCTATAGCTGCTTCACCCATATACAAAGTGCTTGCAAGCACAGATGGGGCAGAGCAGAAAGCCGCGGAAGCACTCTACAATGAAGCTCTGCAAAACTTGGAAGATCGGGGGTTTGGTGTTCAAAAAGACACCCAAGTGGGGAGGGTGCTGCTGAAGCGACACTACACGAGCCTTCCGGAGTCATCGCGAAAACTTCTGACAGACGCAGGTATTCATGTCCTCAGCTTCGGGTTGCATATTCCATCTGCGTCTGGAAACAAAAACGACAAGGGTGTGCATCAGAACCCGCCACCTGCACGGCAGCAAAGGGAGGCATCCCCCGTCCTGGCGGTCAATTTGCAGTCAGAGCCTCCTCAAAGTCTGCCGTGTTCAGCGACGATTGACCCAGGCGATGCATCTCGATCGCGCACAAGTGCGGGCTGCAGTGAGGCGGAAGATGAAGAGGAGGCGCTGGAGCATGGCGAGAAGAGCGAGGGGATGAGTGCATCAGAGCATGGCACTTGGGAAGAGTTAACCACGGGAGTGTTGCCCCATGCCATTACTTCATATGCGGATCTACGCGAGTGTGTTGAAACTGTTCTGGGGAGGTGTAAGGATCCAGGAGTTCATGTCTTCCATCAGAAAGCGGCAAAGGAAGGATTTGCGCTGCTCAGTCATTGCCAGAAGACAGTCTGCCAAGGGTGTACGTTCCAAGTTAAAGCACGAGCAACCAGCACGCTCTCCGGATCGAAGCTAGAAGTCTGCAAAAAAGGAAAACACGGAAAGCTTACTGCTCCAGAGGGTGGTTCCTTGTGGAATGCGGCAGAAGCCTTTGCTATCAAAGAGGCGCACAAAGATTCAGAGATGACAGCGCGGACTGTGCAGCTTGCGCTGAAGCAGGCCGGATTAGACTTTCGATGCACCAAGGTCCAACTTTACAACTACGTGAGCCGCTGCCGGCAGAAAACCGGAATTCCGCAAAAAGCCGTCTCCAAAGTGCCAATAGCAGATTTAGAAAAGGCTGCAGCGGATTTCATGGTGCGTGATATAAGCCAGATCTTGTTGGTGGCTGATGTGGCGCAGCTTGTGGTTCTACCTTCGTCAGTTGTGTCTGAAGACCAAGTTTGTGTCCTCTGGACCTGCCCGGGCATGTTGAAGCGAGCCAAGGCCGCGCAGAACAAACTTGTGAAGTTGGTCATTGATGGGAAGCAAAAAATCCTTTCGAACGAATATGCGATCCTGACTTTGTCATTTTTGGTTTCCAGTGACAAAATTGCACGAACAAAAGCAGGTCGCAGCAGGTCGAAGACCACGGATGTCTATACCTCCACACAGGAACCGTTTCTCCAAGCCCTGGTTAACACTGAATCGGCGGAGAATGTGAGTAAGGTCTTCACAGTGGCGATAGAGATCGCCAATGTCTGCTGCAAATTGGATTTGAAAGCGCAGGTGATACAGATCCACAAAGATTTCAGCCGAGGAATAGAAAAATCGAGGAAAGAGTGCTTTCCATCCGCAAGGCCATGTGACGACTTCCCCCATATGCGGCGGGCGTCTCACAAGACGCTGCAAGGGTTGCTGCACCAAACATCGTCGCGTCCTTAGTTGATTTTGTGTTCCGGGTGTGCCACTTTCATCCGAATTTGCTTGAGGCCTTCTTCCACACCAAAGGCATCGTCGAAAAAGACAAAGGGGGGCAAAGGTCAAGCGAGAGCCGCAAGACAGGCAGACGATTTTGCGACATTGGATGAGATCATCCAAATCAGCCGCATCCTACCCACGGCGCAAATCTTCGACCTGGTTTGGCATTTTACCTTTGCCCGGCTCGAGACCCGGTCGAAGAAAGCAGTCCAATACTTGCAAGATACGTATTTCCGCTTGTTGACACCACAGAGCCTGGGGAAACAATTTCGCTGCAATCGTGGAAGCTGGAACCCGGAAGCTTTGTGGTTTGCCGGCTTTTGGTCGGGAATCATTGGCACGTATCCTGGAACTGCGTCAGGATCACAGACGATCGAGAGTTTTCACGCTCGCTGGCAAGCACAGGTGCAGGGGAGCGTTCGTGCTTCCCCGCAAGACATATTTAAGAACATGCAGAAATTGTTTTCTTCCACGTGGAAGGATCAGTTTGAGTGGGAGGAAAGCAAAATATTCCGGACATGGCCAGAGACTACGGCAAGCGCATTGCTGAATGGCCAAACATTACGCAGCACAGGACGGTCGCCTGCAGTCGACTTTTGGAATGCGCGGGAATTGCGCGTGGACAAGACACGCAACTACTGCCACGTCGTGCTGCGCACAGACAACGCAGACAATCCGGGCATTGATGGTCTCACAAATTTCTGGGTTATGGGAGCGCAAAAGCAAGATGGCATGCTGCCAGCGCAGGTGGCAATTCGGGAAGCTTTTGCCCAACGTTTATGTTCCATGATAGCTGCAGAGGGGGACGCTCTCATTACCGCCGTGAAAGCTGCAGGCATTCTGGAAGAAAACAAAATTAATCTGACTGCCCTTCGCAAATGCTTCAAGACACATGCGGTCGTGCTGCAAGGCCACCTTCCGAACGCTTCTTGGCCGCGACAGAAAAGAAAATACCGAGAGAGTGTGGACTCTATATTATGTACCTGTCTAGAGTTTGTGATGCACGCCGACTGCGAGCATGTTGTATTTGTGAAAGGCCTCAAGGGCGATATTAACTTAAATGCAATCCCTCGAAACAGACCACGTGGCCGGAAGAGAAAGTTACCCGAAACAGATGAGACGTGATTGTCGAAGATGCTGTCCGTACCCACCTTCGGGTAGATCCTTGAGGATGTGACAAGCAAGTGGCACTACAGATCGATATCAGTGCATTTGCACCTGTCAATGCATTTTCTGTGTTCCCGCTCGCAGCGTGAAAGAAAAAGAGTCTGTGACTGTGTGACCAATACGCACCTGTGTCGAAACGCCTGAACCTGACAGACAGCATGTCAACATTCTTGCCTTTTGGTCTGCTTGACCTGTCGCCTTTTGCTCAATGTTTGTTTGGGGTGATATAGATACAGAAAGCGACGCTTCTGCCGCTTGCGTGAACGCGGCAGGCGTGCGGCGCGAAAACCAGATGCAGGTGAACTCTGCGTGGACTCTGCTTGTTATGTCCACCTGTTTTGCCCTTGTGTCTTGTACATGATCAGCCGGTGTTTTGACTGACAGGAATCCAAGGGAATATGCACTGCATGGCCGTTCCGGAAAGCAGACCACGCGCTCAGAAGAGGAAACGACTTCAAGCACATGAAACATAAGAAGCCGTGATGCTGAAAATAGCAACTTTGTGTTAGATCGTTGGGTGATGTTAGACTGACAGAGCGGTACATGGGTTTGAAAGCCTTGTCATTTTCAGTGCATTTCTTGCCAAACCGCTCGTGCTGAGAGAAAAAGACTGTGTGACCACTTCGCAGTTGCTTCCCCACTCAGATGTCAGCATTCTTTTGCTTGTGTCTTTGTCATAATTACCTTGTAACCGCGGAGGCGGCGTTGCCGGGGTGTCTGTTTGCACCCATGAGTACACCTGTCAAAATACCATGCGCTCGGAGAAGAGAGCAGGAACAGATGAACTGTGGGTTTTTCCACTGCAACCTCGAAAGTGCAAGGTCCAGATGCTGCAGCATGTCCTAAGCTATGTGACGCAGGATGCTACAAGCTCCTTGAGTGCCGAAGGGCGGGCGCTAAAGCTATGTGACGCAGGATGCTACAAGCTCCTTGAGCGCCGAACAGTGGAAACAAAGGCATTTCTCCCGGCGCTGGTCACGACAACGTCAGTAGTATCTGCCGGAACTGTATACCAAGCAAGACAACAAACTGGAGTCTTTATAAACCATATATGATAGATAGATAGATAGATAGATAGATATATATAAGAAGTATATAGACTTAGAGAACACAATACATGAGATTTAGGTGGAAAACGGCAAAGATGGTAGCGATCCGTCCTTGCAATGACCACTGCTCTAGACATCGAGCATCCGCAGCTCGAGCGTGCAAAGGTTGCTGCCAGAACTGGGCGAGCACCTCACGCCTCGAGACACCGGCGAGACCCTTCACACGAGATCCCCTGCGGACAAGACGCGTGACAGGCACGCGAAGTTCAAACCAAAGGAAAACAGTTTAGGGGCTCCTGGCCTTG